ACCCATTTAAGCCGTCTCCAGCCATTATTAGTCTCAAAGTGGGTTCCTCGTCATCGAATAATAAGGTTATTGATTTTAAATGAGCATTCTCTTCTAACAAAAGCATTCAGTTATTTTAAACTAACCGTAATTTTAAATCTGAGAATACTATTACATTTATTTACATTTGTAAACATATTTCAGCTTCCTTTCTTTTTGTATTAAGTTCATTTATTGACTTATATTAACTCTGTGCTATTGATTAAGTCTGTGCTATCTATTGACTTATATTAACTCTGTTTACTTGTTTTGTGTATTATGTTACGTATGTCTGCGGACTTACAACGCTAGAATCCGGGTTTCGATACCCGTGGTGGGCAGAGCACAGATAGCCTATTGTGTAGCTTTGTGCTTAATTAAAAAAAACAAACAAACAAAACAAAAACAATTATGTTACGTATTTTCGAGTAATATTATTATAGATCCCCAATAACAGAATTATTAAATTCCGAAACATCCAAAGAATATTTTTTTTTATGTTTGTTGTAGTTTCCTATTGTTAATTAGACTAGGCAATGTATCACTAGATAAACCAGACTTACTGTTTTCTGACGAAAATAAAACTAGATTAGGACAATCTTTAATTTTCAAATCATACAGCACGAGTTTGTTTAATCTTTGTCGTACCTTGAGTAAACTGTAATGATAGCAGATGTGCAGTAGAAGATATCCCCCCTTGTACAGAATACGTGTAACTCTGTGTTTGTTGTTAAATAAGCTACAGAATCAGCTATCCGTGTTCTGCCCACCGTGGATATCGAAACCAAATTACTAATGGTAATACTAATATAACAGAATAAATAAAATATCCTAGTTTTATTGTCAAGAAATATCCCAAACAGCTATGGTAAAAATAAATAAAGACATTTAGTCTTTCTTAACTAGTTGTTTTATGTATCGTTTTATGGAGATAAATATGCATTGAAATACATAATTTATAGCTTTTACTTAAACCTTCGATTGTGTAACCATTGAAACTTAGCACTACAATGTTACTTATCGACACATTATACTTGTATATTTATTGACAAAACATGTTTTGCCATAAATTTATAACTAGCTTTAAGGACAAAGTTTGAAGACTCCTTGGCTAAGCTGTACGCCTGATAGCGGAGTACAGATATCCCATTGAAAAAGCTGTGTGGTTAACAATAACCAAACTAAATAAGATTAAACTTGAACAGTGTTTGAAGCTTATTATTATTTAAGTTGCGACGAGTGTGTAGAAGAAACTACTTAATTTAAGAGTAATCAATCACTTTAATGTGTTCCTTAATAAACTCTCTATTCCGATTAACTTTTGTTTCTAATTTTGAATATGATTTTAATCTTTAGGATGGCCACTGTTCAAGATATTTAAGTGAAAGCTCTGCTCTTCATTCACAAGTTGAAAACAAACAAACAGTTAAATCTTCCAGTATTCACTGCGTTAGGCACAGAGATTCATCGTACGACCGACGAGGGATTCTTTTGTCGGAAGTTTGAAATACACAATAACAGTTCACAAGAAAGAAATTGTTATAATCAAAACAGGACATAAAGAATTGACTTCATATAATTTTAATATACTGATTAATTTACTTTAGCATAAAAAAGGATTAATATGTTGTTTTTTTATAACTCGGACTGATCATTATGGGTTACTCCAATCCCACAGGGATTCTTATGACAAGATATTGCACGAGTTAAATTATGTTATTTATTTTAGGTAGCAGATGTATTTTAAAAATTGTTAGTTACATGTGTATATTGTCTCCTTGTTGCATCGTTGGTACATTGTCGATAATACAACGTGTATATTTTAATGTATTTCATACATCATAAGATGTTTAGGTTGTTCTCTACAACGGTTTTTTTGCAATTGTGTAATCTGTTTGCATTAAAAATTGAAAAATAGTTATACGTATACATAGACAATAAAAAAGCTATATTTGGATTAATTTCATTTTAAATTAGATGTGATGTAACTGGATAATCAAGAAAATAATAAACTGTATTAATTTACAAAAACAAAATTGTGCTTATGTAATCCCATCAGTTAGTATGTTTTATAACCTAATGCGTAAATAAAAGTTTGAAGCTGCTGAAAATTATATTTCAAAATAAAAATTGTTTTACAAAACATTATTCGTAAAGTGTAAAAATATAGAAATGTTTATACATGCAAGAACAAGATTATTTGTGTACTAAGACGATTAGAGCTCGGACTGCTTGACGTTAAAATAAAGTGTGGTCTTGTAAGGAAACCTAAAAGCAGAAGCCAAGCGTTCTGATAAAGGTGGTTATAGATGTTCTTGCTAAAATATGATATATGACACCTTGGCAAAAAGATTCTTCGAGTGATGAAGAGGGAATCATCAATCGTACTGATCTTCAAGGCTGTTCTAACTCATAAGATATGACACATTCCACGATTTTTCACTTTTTTTTTCTGTTTTATATAATGTATAATCCATTTTTTTCTTGGCATATTGGAGAAAAAATGACATGTTCCTCAGAAGTAGCGTAACTTTGAGCAAACTGAAGAAAAAATGCTACAAGGCCTTCAGTCATTCACAGTTCATTTATTCAGTTAGTTCTGACCATAATGAATATTTCAGCTTCGTATAAAATACGTTTGTTGGAATATGGATTTTTCTATGGGAACATCATTGTGTAAATACAATTTAAAACTGTCTAGTAGGAAATAATTAACAAGATAAAA